CACAGCTGTCATCCTTTTTCAATGCTAGTCTCATGAATTGCTTTAATCCAGTGTGTATCACCCACATGTGAAGTAGTGTCAGTTAAGGGACCAAACACAAGGACACACATCCATAAATATTTCAATCACAACATTTTCATCACTGTTCTGACACAAAAGTTATTTGTCCAAATACGAAGCACATGGATAGTAAAGGCAAATTGTCCGACTTGTGTTGATTTTTTTCCTCAAATCGCTTTCACCACAACATTGCAGGGTGCTGTTGCAATTTTAGAAGCACCATAGTCACATGACCAACAAGCAGCAAGCAGGACCACTCACTAAACACAGGTCTCAGGAGTAAGAGCAACTCGTACATTTTTCACCCGGCGAACAAGAGTTCCGATATCCGTCATGCACGGAACATGTTGTGGTGACCTCGCTGGGCTCAGGGCTTCATTGATGAGGTGTTTGGGTGACCTTGGTGGGGTTGACCTCTCCGAGGAACACCGCTGCGACCTCAGGGTCATGTTACTGGCGTCAGATGAATTGATGACTGACATCACAGACTCGTTCTCATCATCGTCATCCGGGGAAGGTATTATCTCAGCATTCGGCGAGGGAATAATGTGGTTGATATACTTACTAGAGTTTCCAAAGCAGCAGCAAAAGAAACCAGACACAATTTAGTACAAACTCATCACACATTGAATGGATTTCAATAGGACAATATGGGGATAAACATGGTTGTTGGTTTGTTGTTCAACGCCGCACTCAGCAATATTCCAGCTATATGACAACGGTTTGTAAATAATCGAGTCTGGACCAGACCATCCAGTGATTGACATCATTGGCATCTATCAACACAATTGGGACCGATGACATGCGTCAACGAAGTCGGCAAAACCTGACCACCGATCACGTTAGTCGCCTCTTACGAGCATAGTCACCTTACGGCAAGCATGAGTTGCTGAAGACCTATTCTACTGAGGATGTCCCTGACAGTAATCATCCTGTAAACACTGCATCCAGATTAAAAGAGGTCAGACTTATGCGTTTCAATGCCAACTTGACCAGTTCTGCCCAGCCTTAACGTTGCACGAGCCGTCACAGAGAAAGATGACACTGACTGCACACATCATGTACTCTACTATGGGGAGGCACACACTCCAACATGTCCATGTTTAACAGACTTGTCTCATATCACCACAGATGTTTCGAACATTGTTATAATATTTTTTTATGTCTAGGAAAAAGGAAAGCTGTTTTCCTTTAAATATGACCCTCTGGGCACAACTGTGACTGCCGAGAAGCCTGTGTTTCTCTCTACCATGTAAAGATTACTCAGACAAGAGTGACTGTACTCAAGCATTACTAAGCTCAAGCAACTGATACTGTAGTCGAACATTGGTATTTTGAAACCCTGTCAGTATCCACAGTGCAATTGTGTCAATACATATGTGAAGAATGCTTCCTTTTGTATCAGCCATTTTTCAAATAATGGCAGCACCTGATTTACTCTCGGTGTGACTACGGCAATAGTCTGCCCATATACATATATATATCAGGCTTGAGCAATAGTCTGCCCATATACATATATATCAGGCTTCGGCAATAGTCTGCACATATACATATATATCAGGCCCCAGCAATAGTCTGCCCATACATATATATATCAGACTTCAGCAAAAGTCTGCCCATATACATATATATCAGGCTTCAGCAGCAATAGTCTGCCCATATACATATATATCAGACTTCAGCAATAGTCTGCCCATATACATATACATCAGACTTCAGCAATAGTCTGCCCATATACATATATATCAGGCTTCAGCAATAGTCTGCACATATACATATATATCAGACTTCCCCAATAGTCTGCACATATAAATATATATCAGACTTCGGCAAAAGTCTGCCCATATACATATATATCAGGCTTCAGCAATAGTCTGTCCATATACATATATATCAGGCTTCAGCAATAGTCTGCACATATACATATATCTATATCAGGCTTCAGGAATAGTCTGCCCATATACATATATCTATATCAGGCTTCAGCAATAGTCTGCCCATATACATATATATCAGGCTTCAGGAATAGTCTGCACATATACATATATATCAGGCTTCAGCAATAGTCTGCCCATATACATATATATCAGGCTTCAGGAATAGTCTGCACATATACATTTATATCAGGCTTCAGCAATAGTCTGCACATATACATATATATCAGGCTTCAGCAATAGTCTGCACATATACATATATATCAGGCTTCAGGAATAGTCTGCACATATACATATATATATCAGGCTTCAGCAATAGTCTGCACATATACATATATATCAGGCTTCAGGAATAGTCTGCACATATACATATATATCAGGCTTCAGCAATAGTCTGCCCGTTTACATATATATCAGGCTTCAGGAATAGTCTGCACACATACATATATATCAGGCTTCAGGAATAGTCTGCACATATACATATATATATCAGGCTTCAGCAATAGTCTGCCCATATACATATATATCAGGCTTCAGCAATAGTCTGCACATATACATATATATATATATCAGGCTTCAGCAATAGCTCATTTGGACTATTAGTTAAAGTACCGTAACTAGATGTTGGAGAGAACAAGAAGTCCTGCCACACGTTCACTTGTTCTGAGATTTGTGAACTACTGGACTATGTCCATCTCTCACCCTAGTGCTTCTCCACTGCTTTTGTACAATCAATCCTGATATTTTCTTACTTCAAATCATATTCCATAACAAAGAAGTGAGTGGTATTCTTGTAAAAATATATATTTATTTCTGAAATAATTAAAATAATACTCAAGCACATCTACACAAAACACATACAGTGAGTCTACATTGATATGACACGCTATATAACAGAAATGGGTACTACACATGACAACATAGAGGGAAACACTAAAACAGAGGTAAAACATCAAATTCATGCTCTTCAACAAACTAACAAATGTATAATAATTGCATACAGCTGGATCTTTATATTTAAAATAAAACAAAACATAAATGGCAGTAGTTGTAGGTAACTTGATGCCTCTTGTAAAATAGCTTCAAACCATCAACTTCGTAAAATATGTGCAACAACAGGTCTAATTGAAACAAGGTTTCCTGGTCGCCAAACTTCATGAAGACGTTATATGAAAAATTCTTCTTATAATTACTTTACACTGTTTTGATACTGAAATTCATATCATCGTTTGATTCATTTAGTTTCATTTGAAATTGGCAATACGTAAGTTAGAAGAATTTCATTCTCTGTGTTGCAAAATAATGAAATTTTCTAGACTTCTGGCAGTATTTCGTTCAAACATTTTTCACAACCGAAGTGATATTAACATTTCTACATTTTCATGAATGTTGTTATATTACGCAGACCAAACTCCCATCAGTCTTCAATCTACATGTGTTGGGGATGCCAAATTTTCTTGGAAATAAGGGAGTTAATTTGGACAAATCAATGACAAGGGACAGAACTCTGGATGCAGTTTCAATAGAATCAGCAGTGACAGATTTGGCAGAAGTTGTATGTAATTTGTGCCAATATTAGACTTATTGATGATTATTTAAAGACCACATCCAGAAATCACAAACTATTTTTGTATGTGTGATGTGGCAGCAGAAAATATGCATGTGCCATTTTGGAATTTGTTTCATTTTTGATAATATAAGGTAGGTGGGCCAAATTAAGAAGAATAATGACATATCAGTTATTGTAATTACTTTTAATAATTTCAAATATTTTATTAATTTTTATGTCCTGTAATGGAATTAGCATCGGACTTCATAAACAGCGAACACATTTATCAAGCATACACTTAGAATACCCTTTCACCTGACTCACAAATGCCATTAAAGTTTGTATTTAATATCACCTAGTCCCTGAGATACAAAGGTTTGGCATTGATAAAATAAATCTGATTAAATTTTGGCTTTCAAATCAGTTTAAAAAATGTTAAAAATTCACTTATTTCAGAAAAAATGATAAATATGTATATTTACATACAATTGCCCGAACATAAGAAAAATGTTGAACGTTGTCAAATAAAACATTGCATGTATTCCTTATGGGAGATACTTCAGATGCACAAAACTGATATATAATTTTTATCCAATTTAAAAAATTCACAAAACTGAATTAGATGACATGTTACTCCTCATCATTTCAAGGTTTAATTTATCTTCATATTTCATCAATAACCAGTAGCATGTAATAATACATTTCTCTATGAAACTTAATGTTCACCCTAGTGATGTCACGATTCACAGGTACGCAGGTGCATCAACGGCAAACTTTGCACGATACAAAACCCAATACACTTAATTTGGCAATGGTCCACATTTAACCCCATATGGATTGTCCATGTTGATCTCGCATCAATAATATTAATAAGCAAGTACAATATTTTTAATTCCTCATAACTTTCTTGGTCATCTTTCAGATACAAAACCGGCCCCAAAACAAGACTGACCAGCTGTCCTTACTGCCTGTCATAATACAGTACATAAACTTTGTTTCTTATTATTTTCTCATTCAGAATAGTTGACTTGAGTCAGAGTCATGTTGATGAGTATAGTCAGTTGCCAGTTGTCTGTCTTTACCTTCATGAGCGAGTGAGTATGGTTTTAGCAATATTCCAGCAATATCACGGCGGGGGACACCAGAAATGGGCTTCACACATTGTACCCATGTCGGGAATCGAACCCGGGTCTTCGGCGTGACGAGCGAACGCTTTAACCACTAGGCTACCCGACCGCCCCTTTAACCTTCATGAGCAAGCAGCATTACAAATTGGCACTATAGTCCTTACCAAGCTGCCCAATAGCTCAGGTATCATAACGACTTGTAGGAATTTGACCTCTTAAATGGTTTTGCTATATGTTATCTTTATAAAGACTAGTGGAATAAAAACTGTTAGTTTCTACCACTGGCGAGTCTATGGACTCTCTTCTGAGTCTATTGACTGGGGTTTCAGGCACAAAATGTTGTACATGCAGTATCAAGATATGTATTGTATCGTGGCCACTGTATCGAGATATGATTCATATCGTGTGACACCTGTATCGTGACAATCTCATTAAAACCAGATCTAAGTTCTCGCTGCCGCAAAACAAAGATTTGAGGATTTCCCATAACTGGTCACGTCCGAACGACCTTTTGCAAACTTTGACCGACCACTGAAATGTCTAATAAGAAGTCACATCAGCCAATTAGAAAGCAGCTTTCTCGAGCTTTATGGCACTCGTTTCAACCTGGCAACTTCCATTTCCGACTATGCTTGAATAATATGTTGACACAGTTCTCGATTAAAATTTTGAAAACTGAAAAGACGAACATTCCGAAATGTCTAATATATGTTTGAGATTTATGGCAGTGCTTCCCACGTACTGTGCAGCGCCTCCTCCGTTCAAATGTTTAGAGATAGATGATAATTTTGACAGAATCAGTCGTTCGGAATACCCCATGTTAATGTTTTCGAGGTTGCATAATAAGAAAAAAACATTCTGACTGTCATTTTCATGATCTGGTAAGCTACGCTTTGATTGGTCGGATGAAAGGTTGTCCGACGTCACCCATAATGGAATTTTCCTCAGATCTTTGTTTGGCGATAGCGAGAACTTAGAACTGATTTTAATGAGATTGGTATCGTGACATCCCTAGTTCAACCATACTATGGTCACAATATGAAATACAGACTTGCAAAACACATTCAACATTCAAACTTAAGATATGGTATATAAATTGGTACAACTAATTTGATTTCATTTTTGATTGAAATATTTAGACTCAGTTGATGATAACAAAATTACAATTTAGATTTTTATATGTAGGCACTCTGACAAAACTCTTTTAATATTTTCTTAATTCAACTTTTGATTACCTCCCCTTACACAGGTCATCGATAACAGGTCGGCAGTTGCAAACGATCTTACTTTCTGCTTATGTGTATGTCAGGATTAAATACATCAACTAAAAACATTTCTAACAAGCTAAACAGGCATGAGACAATTAAAACAAAATAATAGTACAATTATTTGTTAATAAAATCAACAACATATATTTTAACAGGTACAAAAAACTTCATTCCTCTGTCAAACAGTCGTTTTATTTCTGCAAAAGAAACAAATGAAACATGACATATAGACAGCATGCAAGATATCAACGTTTCCTTTCAAACTTCTATTTACAAACCTCAGCACACTGATAACTGAACTAACTTCCGAAACAAACACAATATGCAACTGAATATGTTAAACAACACAAGGTACCATGCCAATTATCAGTGACAATAACACAACTGCTGTTCAACAATGCAAAAAAGTATTACACAAGCATGACACGATGCTAAGCAACAGTGACAAGCAATGGTACTGGGATACTGATTGTGGAGGGTAATTGAAAATTATCATGAGTTCTCTGCTCCTAAATCAATGTCAGGATTTATGTCAAAGAGAAATTGTCGAAAATATATAAATCTATCTTCCTGAGGCAATGAAGTTAACTGACGATAAAAGTCCAGTTTCCACCCTTGCCGAACTTTTCAAAATGGTCACTTGGTCCTGTTTAAAACAACATAGAGCTATGTCTGTCGTAAGTCAATGTTAAACTGTGAGAGTTACGACTAACTTAGCACTAAAACACTTTGTGAAAAAGGTCTGTTTCCAGCACACACCACAGAACTAGAGGAGTTACAATGGTCGTAATGCTAAGAAAACTGTTTGAAAAACATCCCATGGTCCTGTTTCAAGAGCTGTCATAAAGCTATGATTGTAAGAAGTCATGTTAAAATATGGATTATGAGTGAGTGAGTTGGGTTTAACACCGCTTTTAACAGTATTCCAGTTATATCTCGTCGTGTCAGCTTAATGTGGGAGGAAAGCCTGAAGTGATGCAGGTCTCAGACGTTTACCACTTAGGTGAAACCCACGAGCACTGGTATGGTGCTGACAAACCTAGAAACATAATTGCGGCGAACTGGGATTCGAACCCACAATCATAGGTTTCTGGCGTGTCCAAGGGACGCAACTCTGCAGAGCAAATTGCGGCGCCTTAGACGACTGGGCCACCCATGCCCCCTATGGATTATGATCATCGTAAGGCTAAGATCACTTTATGAAATTTATTACTTGCGTTTGAACAGATCACCCGTTTAATATACATACAGCTGTATTACACATTGTGCAATACCAAAGCGTGTGCTAATGTACAGCAGGAACAAGGTTAAAGAACAAATATTGAAAACTCTCAACATCCCTGGGCTTATTCAACGACATTACGTATAGAGATGATCGATCACTGAAAGGAGCTTATACACCTGTTGCTAGGCTGACGTAACATTGCATTGTTTCGCCAGTGGATCTTGCAACAAAATTTCACAAATTACATTATCGGGAATTGTGACGTAATTGTAAACTTTGCGGTGCAGGACCCCGTTCCACAAGGGGATCGTAGCGCCACGACACTAGATATATGGGAGTTATTGATAATCTTGGTGCTACGATAATTTTCTGGAAAGGAACCCTGAATTCTTATCGTGGGCCGTTGCATGGTATTAAATTAATACGTGTCAACTTTTGACGTGTTTGAAGTATAGTTTTGTTAAACTCAATTTGATCATGCTGTGGATCGCGTAGATCGCCTATATTCACACATGACATTGAAATTCTAAAAAATAGTTTTAAACGGCAAGTAATAAATAAAATACCAAACTCGCTCCCGAGTAGTACCAACTGAATGCAACTCGTGAATAGTTCTGGTATCTGACTCACTTTCGCTCGTCAGATACCAAAACTATTCACTTGTTTCATAAAATTGGTATTACACGGGAGCTTGTTTAGTATTCTACATAGGTCACCTGGTTATTGCCAATATCAGTATCACAGTACCACTGCCAGCGTTACACAACCAACCAACAGTGAGTCACTTGCTTACTTGTCAGGCAGGCCATACAGCTCGTACTCCTTGATGTGATGGATCACCGCATCCTGCAGCAGGAACTTCACACTTTCACCTCGCCTCAGGGCTCGTCTACAAACACACGGGAACAAACGTGTACAGCTGATTGCTATTTCCAACTTAACTTTCCAACAAATACACACGGTAATCTTAATCTCTGCATATAAAACAATGTCTGGCATAACAAGACACACAACTGAAAAGGTAAATTATCATAGTTTCATGAAAGTGTAAATTTACATGGGCCGACCTCTATCTACAGAATCTTTTTTCTGGTCTTCACAATCAAGATTAACTACAGTCATATACAGTCGTGACAACAGGAAAGTAGTTTCTTTGTTTGTTTGTTGTTTAACACTGCACTCAGAAATATTCCAGCCATATGACGGCGGTTTGTAAATAATCAAGTCTGGATCAGACAATCGAGTGATTGACATCATGAGCATCGATCCACCTATTCGGATACAATGACATGCATCAACCAAGTCAGCAAGGCTGACCCCCAGATCCCATTAGTCGCCGCTAATGACAAACATAGTCGCGTCTTACGACAAGCATAGTCACCTAGGAAAGTAGTAAAAACATGTACATCAACACAAGACAAAACAGTGACTGTTATCGGCAGTCCAGTGTCTGTCAGATGCTGTGTGTTGCTGAAACAGGAGTGCAAAAAAGTCTACATTCTTTTTTCGACTTAACATCTCTTTTCCCATGGTCCCTGAAAACAGTGCGAGAGTGACCTTCATAGAATGACTTATCAACTTAGCAATTACTGTTCGAGTAATGTAAATTCAATGTTGCCTTCACATTACAAAGGAAAGAGCCATGTGAAATTTTATCATCGCCTACATGAACAGATTAGGCGCCAGTTGTGTCATTCTACTGAGATGAGAGGGGCATCTTTCAAGTCAACCATTCACACGACCTCATCCCCCCTAAATATTTTCTCATTGAAATTACATGATTCACAAGCAATGTCCAGTTGAAAAAACTAAACATATACAGAGAAGGGGTGAAATTTTGACTAGTCAGACAGCCATCTATTTTACATTTTTCAGTAGGCCTTTTGTAATTTTAACTGACCATGGGCCAATGTAATCGACCCCTGCAATGTAAGTCTGGACTTATACAAGAAGCCACACACACACATGTGCATGCACGTCACAATATAAGTGAAACGGTCTTGAATGTGACGTTAACCCCTCACCTCACTTGGCCCGAAAAGTAAGTCCACTTTGACGAAGGGACATCACAGCCTTACCAGCTGATACAGGAGTCTGTGAAACACTCGTAAAATCTCTCACCTCACATTTCTTCTGTGGACTCACCTTATCTTCGTAGAACTGATCTCATTTGTGATCCATTCAGTAACTATATGAATATTGTCCTGAAACAGCAGAGTAATCTCCCTTTAACATCATGACAGATACAACAAAGTCACACATGCCAGAAATAACTCAACCAGGATGAAATATTGCCATAGTTATTGTGGACATAATTCCAACTAGATAAAGGCCTTCAGCTTTGGATACAGTGTTATCTGAAATAATTCATCTTCACATCATTCTGGTCAAGACTAGCCATGAAGATTCCGGGGTAGAATAGGTCTTCAGCAACCCATGCTTGCCGTAAAAGGTGACTCTGCTTGTCGTAAGAGGCGACTAACGGGATCGGGTGGTCAGGCTCGCTGACTTGGTTGATGCATGTCATCGATCCCAATTGAGTGGATCGATGCCCATGATATTAATCACTGGATTGTCTGGTCCAGACTCGATCATTTACAGACTGCCGTCATATAGCTGGAATATTGCTGAGTGCGGCGTAAAACAACAAACAAACAAACAAACAAATGGTTAAGACTAGCCATGAAACTTATAACTGGCAACATTATTCATGGTCAAACTTTATGAACTTTGTAAAAGTATGAAACTGTTTATGAAATATAAAAGTATGGCATAACATTCCACTTACTTGATACTTTGATAAGATATCTGATTCATAGATGAACTTCCGGGGGTCGCATCCTTCTCTTGTGATACAAACTAGTCCATGTTTACTAAGTATATATTCTATCTGAAAACCAAAGGAAATCTGTCATACTCAGGATGGTGACAAAGTACAGTCACAAATTTCTCCTTTAAAAAAAATATATTTTTACACTAAGTCGCTAAACATAGATATGTAACCTCAGAGCAAGGCAAAATGTTATTTCCTTGCACTAAAATTGACAAGGGGAAACCCTAATGGTAACAGACAAGCTGACTTCATTCGAAAAAATATACTTATATGAATATCGCCGATGTTTTGTTCAACAACAAAGATTTATAAGGTACTCAATTTGCCAGTCCACAGGGACTGGCAGTCACATGAATTACCGCTCAAAGCCCAATTTTACCAGTAAAAAAATGGTAATTACCAGTAAACGGGAAGACTGCAAAAGAAGTTAATTTGCAACCCCAATTATGACGTCTCATTTCTCCATTTAATTATGAATAATTACATTGTAAGTGATTCCAGGTCATTTATTGGCTACAAAGCAAATATTTTTGCTTAATTAATCTAGACCCACATGTGGACGACTTGGCGGGGCTTGAGTTATTGACTAAATTATTATTGTTGATTTATCTATAAGATTTGACTTCAATTTGACGGATGGTTTGTTTAAGTAGTCTGACCTTTGATTGAAAGAAATGCTGAGGAAGGTGCCACAAGCTTTCATAATTTCATGATTAAAAAGTAAATAGTAAGGGTTATTCCTAGTTACAGTATCGATCTTAATGACCAATGAAATGCTCTCATAAAGTTTTATGTCATTCTGAGAACGTTCGGAACAAATATTGTCCTATTTTCAATCAGAGTTTTCAGCCCCATGCCTTGATTATTGTTCATAACATGATGATATTATATGTTGTATTGATGTCTTATGTTGACAACGTCGTCTTGTGTTTTTTCAACAAAAGGTAAGTAAGAACAAAGTAAGTTTTTTTTCCAGTATGCTTCAACATGGCGAAAGGGTCAGACATTGCATGCTTGTGACAGTTGTCCTTGTGTCTGGGGGTGAAGTTAAAGGCAGTATTGCCCATAGACCCTGGTGGGTAGCTGGGTGCGCAGAATCTATGCCCAATTTTTTTTAAATTACTGATTTAACTTTGAAGTTTTACTGCAGTAACCCGCACTGACTGATGCACAGAAGTTGCCTTAATTTTAAACACGATGTTTGAACAAATGCATTTTGCAGCATTATTATGTTTTTATTTAATAAAACGTCTGATTTGCTACATGCTCCGCAATACTGGCTTATTGACTTTTGCCATTGATTTTTTACATTTCTCGGGTCCAAGTCATTGACCAAGTCCTTGACCTACAGCTTTTGTGTCAAAATCACTGGGACTGCTAACAAAACAAATCTGTGCTGGGTAATGGGTGCTTTTTGTCATTCACTGACTTCGATTTATTGTTACTTACACAAGACATGAAGTTATCTTTTAAAAGTTGTCATAAACGACTCAAGAGAGAATAGTCTGGATTTCTGAAAATGAATTTTCATTTCTGAGACAGTAAATGTCAACGAAGGATGGTAACTCACATCCTCCTCAGCCCAGACTCCCGGCTCCCCGAACGACTGCAGCAGGTCTGCGCCACACAGCAGACGGAGCTGTATCGGGATGTCCGCGTCGTTCACTGTGATCTTTGGCGACGATGCATTGTCAGCCTCGTCTGCAACAAACAACCACTGATTACTGGCCTCTTCACAGACTTCACTCAACAAAATTACTGTCATCCATAACAAACATGATGGAGATATTTTGTATTTTGACATTATTCCTGTTAACCTCAACATGTTCAAGGTTGCATCTTTTGTCTATTACTGTATGCCTTGCCACCACGCACCTATCTCACCACCTTCAACCTGCCTCACCATCACATACCTGTCTCACCATCACACCTGTCTCACCACCTTCAACCTGCCTCGCCATCACACCTGTCTCACCACCTTCAACCTGCCTCACCATCACATACCTGTCTCACCATCACACCTGTCTCACCACCTTCATCCTGCCTCACCATCATACCTGTCTCACCACCTTCAACCTGCCTCACCATCACACACCTGTCTCACATTGTTTTATTTGGAGCAAGAACCTACAGAAAAAGAAACACACTGTATGTTCCTTTCTTTCATCACATCATGAAATATTTGTATTATTTCCTAAACACAGTGCTACAAAACATTCATAGTTCATGTGAACCAGGGGCAGTTGGATAGACAAGTGGTCAAAGCGTTCGCTCACCATGCCGAAGACCCAGGTTCGATTCCCCACAAGGTTACAATGTCCTAAACCCATAACTGATGTCCCCCGCCGTGATATTGCTGGAATATTGCTAACTGTGCCATCCATAAAACCATACACATTAACTCACATGAGCCAGATTAATTGAGAAGCGATGTACACACAACACAACACAACACAACACAACACAACACAACACAACACAACACAACACAACACAACACAACACAACACAACACAACACAACACAACACACACACACACACACACACACACACACAATGCTTCCCCTTTCAAAATTTTGATTAAAACATAATAATTTATTATTGCCTAAGAAACACAAAAAGCTGCCAACTCAACAATGTCTACTACAGTCTACTAACGAGTAACATTTCGTGGAGCAAGGGACATTATCAAGCTGGTTATATGCCTCTTAATCAATCATAGGAAGTCATATTCCCAGAGGTGAAGTGAAATTGGGTTTAACGTCGCGTCCAAGATTATTGCACGTGTATGTGTGTGTGTGGCTGCTTGTACTAGTCCGGACTGATGCCGATTTATAGTGCTAGCTCACTGAGATACCATGCCGCAGTTTAACATGAATACCCCACTCAGACACAGTATACTGACTCCGAGCCGACCAGTCCTTGTTTTAGCCCCTTAATGCCGAGCGCCAGACAGGGTAACAACAAGTACAATCTTTTAACGTCTTTTTGTATGACGCGGCCCGGGATCGAACCCTGGACCTTCCGCTCTCCGGGCGGACGCTCTACCACAAGACCACGGAGGCGGTCCCATATTCCCAGAAAACTGGTCGTTACTAAACACGGAATGGCCCGTCTAGACCAGCAAATATTATCTTAAATGACACGTTTCCACATGTGGCTGATCAGTTCCCTGTGTGAGGCTGTGATCTTCCTTCATTAATGGACATCAACAAGCCAAATTACACACAGGATGTCCACCATCACAGAGCTGCTTCTCCAGCAGCAGGCTGATTGTAGGGATGATGACAGTGTGTGATGCGGGCGAGATGCAGTAATATACAGGTACATGCTGTGTAATCATCGTTAACATCTGACAAGCTGAGGTAACAATGGGCTTAACATCACATTCAAGATTATGGTACTTAGATATATATATTATATATATATATATAGTGATGTGCCTGCACATGGGTGAGTGGCTGCTTGTACTAGTCCAGACTTAATGCCATTAAGTCTTTGAAAGGCATTTAGAAGTGATACATATAACAATGTGTGTGGTCTGACGTTGATTAATGAATAATTTGCATACTCGTATATGCAAGGGGCCGACGTATGGTTCTCAGTAGGAAGTGACAACTTGGAGACGATGGTTTGCGGTATATACAGTGTTACTTTATACATGTAGATATATACATACAAAAGACACTATGTGCCAGGTCAGCACATAGTGGTAGTGGTTGTTGTCTAGGTGCCCCGGAGCACCCAGCCAAACCCTAGCTAGGCTATGGGTAAGACCTTTCTTTTTTCCTTTTTTTTGTCAATCTCTCTGGACCAAGGCTTATATAGCCAAGGTCACCTGACATTTAGTAAGTAATAAATATAAATATAGTTCTTCAGACAATGGGTGTTGTAAATCAGTGGCTATGATACATATAAGAAAGAGAATTCATGGTTGTCAACTTTATTTTTTAGGAACCCAACCTTTCGGAGTATATGCTTACTCCTTCATTAGGTGAATGAGTATCAATTTTGTAGTGTTAGCCCAATGAAATTATAAACCTAACACTGGCTCCGAGCTGACCAGTCCTTGTGTTATCCCTTAATGCTGAGCAACGGGCAGGGTAACAAGATTCAACTTTTAATGTCTTTTGGTATGGCTCTTGTGACAGATTTGTTTGCGGTTGATGAGTGATGTACTGGAACACATTGCGTAATCATAGTTAGGAGGTGAGGTGAGGTGAGGTGAGGTGAGGTGAGGTGAGGCGAGGCGAGGCGAGGCGAGGCGAGGTGTGTCTGTGTGTGTGTGTGTGTCTGGGCAGACGCTCTACCACAGAGGTGGTCTCATAGTTAGGAACAGATGACCCTTTCAGCAGCTGATAAATGAGAACTTGGCAGAGAAGCAAATGGACACAGTAGCAACTTGACCAAATTATTTGATTATTTCTGCAGATGAAAACCATTCCTCAATATTTCTGGTTCGCAACTCTTAAAATATTTTGTTCAAATATTTTGGCTGGTTCTATCAAGCTTCCAGAGTTACTTCCTGGCCACACATTGCATGAGCGTCTGTCTCAAAATCATGAATGGAAATCACAATACCGAGCACCTAACTATCATCACATTGATGTCAATGGCAAGTGATGCCTCTATCATGTCTAGGCACAGAGATGTCCTCAACTCAACTCGGTACCTAAACACTTGCTATCACGGTAATCTGACCCAGAACTTTAGAGAAAGAACAGCTGTTTCATGTGTCCACAATCAGCCAATGCCCTTACTGGTACCCTTCTTAGGGATATTCACTTGTAGTAACATGACTGAAGATGAGTGGAGCTGTTAAGCAATCATCAGAGCTGGTTTTTATAATAAAATAAATCCAGAAACCAAAGGTAGATTAATGAAAATGTGGCATTCAGTGATAGTTTGCTGTCTGCTGATGCAGTGACCATGTAAAAACTCAGAGCCTTTAAATTAGTCAAGTGTACCAGTCCCTTTCTGTCCACAAAGCAGGGGAAATTCTGACATGGGCCCTACATGTGAAAATTTTAAATATTGCAGAGGTACACCCGCACTTGCCCATACAGCACAATGTTAAAATATCCAATTGTATTTGAAAATGTGGGCCTTTTATTCAAATTTAGGTGCTAAAAGCACAAGGCCCCACCCTAGAATGATGCCTGACAAAGCATGAGGTTAAAGTGAGTGAGTGTGGTTTTACGCCACTTTTAGCAATATTCCAGCGGGGGACACCAGAAATGGGCTTCACACATTGTACCCATGTCAGGAATCATCCCGGGTCTTTGGCGTGACGAGTGAACGCTTTAACCACTAGGCTTCCCGACCGCCCCCATTGGGTTAAAGTCAGACACACACTACATCATGTGATATTATCAATAAGAATAGCCAACCTAATGCTTTGGAGGGAGAACTCAATCCCACTTTTCTATTAAGGGAAATCTACCTGGAAATAAAACCCTGCAGTGACCTAAACGCAATTACTGCCGATTACTCTCCATTACTTCTGACAGCAGACTGGACACGGTCCCTACTGATGGACACAATCTCCCTTTATTTGCTCCACCTCTCCGTACCGGGTTAGCCACGAGTTAATCAATACCTCCATTATCATCATATGCTGAAATCACTGTACAGGAACTCATACACTGTCAGTGGACGAAGTTAATTACCTGGGACTCCATTAGGATTCAACATACAGCCACCATAAGCTGATACGGTAAAACTCCTCAAGTTAACACAAAAAAGATTTGTCGTGCATTTGAAGTGACATTTTAATCCGCGAAGATAGTTGATCTATTGGTTTCAACTTCCTTCTTGTCTCCATTCAAGAAAAAAAAGATGACTGGGAGTTGTTTATCATACAATAAAACACTGTATGGAGAATAAACCATGAGGGGGCTGTAGTGAGTCCCGAGTGGTTTGTTCTCCCTGTAGTGATTTATTGTACGATAAACAAACACAAGTCGTTTATTTCTTACGTGAGATATCAACATTATGTATAGCCTCTATAAGGATGATAATAAAAGGTACAAGCTTCATAAAAGAATTCCCCTATTTTAATAATGATGACTCCCTGAATAGAACATCTGACCTCGGCAATATCAGGAAAGTCTATTAGCAGGTGGATTAAGTTTGGTATTTCCCTCATATTCTCACATCGCTTATTTGTACCTTTTCTCCCAATTTTGGATACGATCATTCAGGCACTGCATTTGTTTTCGTCACCCAGCTACATCTGTGGGGAATAACTCACTTGCATCCTGAAAGACACTGAGTGACAAAACCTACATCCTGCAAGACCTTGCATCCTAAAAGATAATGAGTGACAAAACCTACATCCTGCAAGACCTTGCATCCTAAAAGATAATGAGTGACAAAACCTACATCCTGCAAGACCTTGCATCCTTAAAGACAATGAGTGGCAAAACCTACATCCTGCAAGACCTTGCATCCTGAAAGACAATGAGTGACAAAACCTACATCCTGCAAGACCTTGCATCCTGAAAGACAATGAGTGACAAAACCTACATCCTGCAAGACCTTGCATCCTTAAAGACAATGAGTGGCAAAACCTACATCCTGCAAGACCTTGCATCCTAAAAGACAAGGAGTGACAAAACCTACATCCTGCAAGACCTTGCATCCTTAAAGACGAGTGACAAAACCTACATCCTGCAAGACCTTGCATCCTGAAAGACAA